GGCGAACCCCAGGAAGGGGGCAACTTGGAGAAGCCTAAGGGGGACACGGCGAGTCCCAGAGAGGGGGCCGCAGGATTAAGAAGCCCAAGTGTGGGCGCGGAGAGCCCCAGAAAGGGGGCCATTTTATTGAGAAGCCCAAGTTTGGGCACTGGGAGCCCCTGATAGGGGGCCACGTTTATTAGGAAGCCCAAGTTGGGCACAGCAAGCCCCAGGAAGGGGGCAACATTGAGAAGCCCAAGTGTGGGCTTCTCCTGTCACACTCCCCCTCTGTGCAGCACTGGTCAGGCCACAGTTGGAGTACTGTGTCCAGTTTTGGGTGCCGCACTTCAAGAGGGATGCGGGGAATCTCGAGAGGGTCCAGAGGAGGGCCACTCACATGATTAGTGGCCTTTGCACTAATCCCTACGGGGGGAGATTGAGAGAGCTGAATCTCTTCAGCCTTCACAAGAGACGGCTGAGGGGAGAACTTGTGGCCACCTATAAATGTATTAGGGGAGGTCAACAGGGAATAGGGGACACGCTGTTTACTAAGGCGCCCCAGGGAGTGACTAGGAGTAATGGGTGTAAACTAGTTGAGAGGGGATTTAGGTTAGATATTAGGAAGACATTTTTCACAGTAAGGGTGGCCAGGATCTGGAATGGGCTTCCAAGAGAGGTGGTGCTATCACCTAGCTTGGAGGTCTTCAATAAGAGGCTAGATAGTCACCTGGCTGGGGTCATCTGACCTCGGTCCACTTTCCTGCCAGGGGCAGGGGGTCGGACACGATGATCCATTGTGGTCCCTTCCGACTCTACACTCTAGGAATCTAGGGGCTGAGGAAAGCTCTGAGAATCCCTCAAGGGGCTCATGAGCTCCCCCCATACGGCCTCCTCTCCCCCTCATCCCAGATATCACTTGAGGCTCCCTGCCACATCCTGCTGACCCCTAACAGAAGCTCCCTTCCCCCAAGTGTTTGGATGGGAAGTGGGGGCAGAACTAGCCCCTTCCCTTTGCCCTCTGGAATTAAGCTCCTGGCTTTCCAGCCTCTTCACATCATTTTGCTTGTCCTCCTCCTTTCCCCATTGCCCTCCCCCGGAGGTTCCCTTCCTCCCAGCACAGGCAGTGACTCCTGTCTGGATTCTCCCTCTGCCCCGGCAGGTGAGGGGACAACGAGCGACAACGAGGAGGAGAACCCATGGCAGGAAGGTCCTGAGCACGAGGAACTGGATGGACCAGGGTTGGAAGAAGCTGAAGGGGATGTTTGCCCAGAGCAAAGTGAAGGCTGCGAGAGGGAACAAGGAAGCCATCCAAAGAAGAAACAGGATGACCCCAGTGCCCCACAAGGAGGTTTGGGGAAACACAAGGCCCCCACAACCCCCAAGGGGGCAAGCGCCAGGGGGAAGCCCAACACATGTGAGGCCTGCGGGAAGAGCTTCAGTCTGCGGTCGAACCTGCTGACCCACCAGCGCATCCACCTGGGAGACCGGCCCTACCAGTGCCCCGAGTGTGGGCGCTGCTTCAGCCAGAGCTCACACCTGATCACGCACCAGCGGCTGCACACAGGCGAGCGGCCCTACCGCTGCCGGGACTGTGGGCGCAGCTTCAACGTCAACTCCGACCTCATCAAGCACCAGCGCACCCACACCGGGGAGCGGCCCTACCCCTGCCCCGAGTGCGGGCGGCGCTTCAGCAGCAGCGCCACAGGAGAGCTTCCGCGACTGCTCATCCCTGACCATCCACCAGCGCCTGCACACAGGCGAGCGCCCCTACGTGTGCGCAGACTGTGGCAAGGGCTTCACCGACAGCTCCCTCCTCATCAAGCACCAGCGCACGCACCGCACTGAGAAGTGCTACGACTGCCCCGACTGCGGGAAGAGCTTCTCCACCAGCTCCTACCTCCTGCGGCACCAGCGCACCCACCTGCCCGAGAAGCCCTACCAGTGCCCCGACTGCGGGCGGGGCTACAGCCAGTTCGCCCACCTCACCACCCACCAGCGCGTGCACACGGGGGAGAGGCCCTACATCTGCCCCGACTGCAGCAAGAGCTTCACCACCAGCTCTGCCCTGACCAAGCACAAGAGGATCCACACAGGCGAGCGCCCCTACGTCTGCCCCGATTGCGGCAAGAGCTTCACCCAGAGCTCCAATGTCATCACACACTGGCGGCTCCAGCACGGCAAGTCCCTGTGAGAGCCCCAGGCCACGTCGCTGACCCATCCTGCAGCACCGGCCCCTGGCTGCCCTGCGGGGGAAGGGACAGATGCTGGATTGGTGGCGACCCTCCAGGGACCAGGCCTCCCTTGCTGCTGCCGAGCCCCTCTGCTTTCCACTTGTCTGTATGAGGGAAGGAGAAGCAACCTGCTCATGGGTCCAGCTCCCTGGAGTGATGATTCCCCCTTCCTATCACCACTGCTCTGAACCCAGAGCTCCCAGGGGAGTCCAGAGCTCCCAGACCCTCTCCCCTCCAGACATGGTCCTGTGGGTGACCGGGTTTCCAGGCTTCATGCTTTGTCTGGTCATTGCCCGTCTCACAATAATAAAAGCTGCTTTCCTTAAACTTGTGTGTGCTTTTCTGAAAAGCAGCTGTAGCACTGGTTTCAGCAGACCCACCAGAGCATCTGGGGATTGCAGGTGGCATTCAGTGAATAATGTTTACAGGTGTGTGGAGGGAGGAACATAGGGCCAGATGTCCCAGTGGTGGAAATCAGCAGTGTTGCACTGGAGTCAATGAGGCTCCACCAATTTACAGCAGTTGTGGTCACCAATTTACAGCACCTGGGGTCCTGGCTCATATAAGTGCTGACTTCTATTTTTGCTGGCATGATGGGGAGTCCTAAAATGATGGACATGTGGAAAGTTTTACACATTTCAGGTGACAGCCCTCTTTCCGAGAGAGGCCAGGGCCCTAAGGCTTCACCTACTCGGCACCCATACTGGCTCGTAACGATCCAAGCTGAGAGATGTGTCAGCTGGAAATTGCACGTGTTATTTGATGAATAGGGTTCACAGGGGGCATTTTGGTGTGTGTTGGGGAAGAAAGAGAGGTCCCAGCCCTTTGCCCCAGAGAGACAGGTCCACAGCCCACAGCTGTCCCTGACAAGACACTTCCTCTGAACCTCCCCTCAAGTCTTCCCTTTGTTACTTTCCCCTCTCTCTTGTGTCTTGGCCACTCTCTACTGTTTTGGGAGAGGAAGGAGAGTAGCAAAAAAGCTGAAAAATCTATTTATGAATTCAGTGTAAAAAATAAAATCTTCCTGGCTCCTGAAGGCAACCAGTGGAAGCCCTGAAGCACAGTATTAAAGGATTAAATGCAATCGAATTAAAGCTTTAATTAAATACAATATAATTAAATACAATACAATACAACATAACCAATACTGTAATCTTATTCAGAGCTCAAATAAATGGCGAGCAAAGGAGGACAACCTAATCCAGAACAGGGTATCATAAACTCTGAGCCTTACTTTCCTGATTTGCACAACCAAATTCTTGAACTCCCTGTAATCTACACTAGACGTGCAAGTCACTTCAAGAACCCCAAGGTAGTACAGACAGTGCCCACACGTAAAAACCATTCCAAGGGCCATCCCAAGCTACTTCTTGATCTCTGCCCCACTTCTTCCCTCCTTATTCTCTTTCTGTTTATGTGTCTGAAGAATCTTCTGCTCCTCATTTTCATTTTCTCTACAAGGTCCAACTAAGCCAGGCTTTTAGCCATTCTCACTTGATTTTCTGTGGTACCTGAGCTTTGAGACATGGCCTTCTTCACTGATCACTCCCTTCTTCATTTCTTGGAGGTTGTCTGTGTACTCTGAATAGCCTCTTTGAATTGCTTATTTATCCAGGTAGACATTTTCCTATCAGTTTTTCTCCTTCACAGTTGGTACAGAAGTTCCAGATAATATTTGCACTTTTGATATTAAGTAATTTCGTGTCTTTTCTTCCATTCAAATCCTTGAGTTCTTAAATCCAGTTAACCTCATTTTTATCCACCCTGCTGTTTTATCTATGCCAGTGGTGTTCAACCTTTTGACCTCCCGGGCTGGATGAATGGAACAAGACCGGCCTGTGGACTGACCTGTCGTGGGACTGGCACACGGGGTTTGTCCCCACATGCCTGCATCAGGCCCCATGCCACCTCAGCCCAACCCCACATGCTCAGATCAGGGCTCATGCCTACCGCATGCCCTATGTGGCACAGAAGGAACATGATATCTGGCCTATGGAGATCCTCACTGGTCTGGAAATTTGGCACCAGGAGAGTGGCAATTAATGCTGCCACTGATCCCATGATGCCAAAGTTTTGGGACTGTGGGGAGCTCAGCGGACCAGAAGATACAGCTCCAAGGGCCAGATCTGGCCCACAGGTCAGAGGTTGAGCACCCCTGGTATATGCCATTGTTTCTTGTTACTTTAAGGCCTGCCACTTCACTGATAAATATATAGTAATGAGCAGACACATCCAGACAGGCCATACGCACTGCCAAGGCAGGAGTCTGATGAATTTAAAATAATGGCCTTTGACAAAGGAAGCAGCACCACAAATAAGGAACTGAGGAGAAGCTTCAGCCTTGTCACATGCAGATGTTTTCCCAAAATGAATGATTAATGCTAATATCCCCTCTGGGCCCACAGGGCAGGAGAGACCCCGCATATGACAGGGACCTGTGGAGCAAGGGCCCAGCTTCTGCCAGCCCTGTCATGCATCAGAGACACCCCATGGAACAGAAACCATTGCCCTCAGGACTATGTGGAAAGTCACCGCCACAGCACAAGCCCTAACAGACACTGGAAAATCTGCTTAGGGACACAGAGGGCGGAATCTCATGTCACTTTATGGCCCCAAATGGCAGTTTTCCAGCTGCACAACTGCTATTTTGGCACTATGGACAAAGACCTTGTGCAATAGTCTACCCTCTAGTTGGGCAGGTACAAAGCTCTGCATGTGTGCACCTAAGTGGGAGTCCCAGCAAAAATTCCTGTGTTTTAGCAAAGTCCACTGTTCAGGTCATTCAGGAAGAAGACGACCTAGCCTCCTTCATGCAGCGTGGATGTGAACCTGAACTTCTCTTCTTAGCACAATGCTCTAACCACCCGGCCCCAAGCACTAGGCCTTACTCCAGACTCCCTCCAGCTCTGCCCTTGGAGCTGAACCACTGAACTGTGAATTTAATATTCACAAGATACAGTACAACAGAGAGAACTGAGAAGGTTTTTGCCCCTTTGGATGCATGCATGTAGATACGAGAGCAATTCTTCTGTTACAAAGCATTCAGCAAGCTCACAACAGATCAAAATGCTTTTAACACTATGCTGGATTCCTATTTGAAATCTCTGGGTTTATCCGGTGAATCATGTTTGCCACCTAGCAGTTGTAACATTTCATGGCACCCCACATCATCCTTGAAAGGATCTCGAGGCCCCCTGGGTGCCACAGCACCTGGTTGAGAATCACTGCTGCCAGCAAGGGCGCTAACCACTTGGCTCTCTGGCGAAAACATTGAAATTCCTCTTCTTCCAACTAATATGCAGCAGCCAAATAGACTGCATCGTGGCTGGGCTCTTGCTAGGCAGTATTTTGTGACTTGCACCCATACAAAGCCACATGCCTGCTGGGCCAGCACACAACCTGCTGTGCACACTCAGTAGCTTTTGTGAATGCTTGTGTGTTCACAATGCATGTGGAATAGGCCCACAAACTGGGCTTAAAGTGCCAAAAATGGCCGTTCCATGGCTGGAAACCTGCCTTTTGGGTGCATAAAGTGAAATAGGATTTTGCCAAAAGCCCCTCTAAGACTTTGCAGGAGCCTGTCATGTGAACTTAGCTGGAGACAGCCCATGGGAAGCATGGAAGCCCTGTGCTGGGAATGCTGGGCCTTGCAAAATAAAGTATTATCAGTCACTGAAACAACTACCCGCTGGGGTGTCTGAGAATTGTTTGAAGGCTACACATTTCTCAGGGTGGAGTTGCAAGTGGGCCAAGCACACCAACTATTTGGAAGCCCCTTCAGAGAACTGGAGGATTTTTATTCCTGATATAGCTAATTCCAAACACATCGGCTGAAACAAAGGAGAACGGCAGTCCTCCCAGATGAAACATGATGTGCTGGCACCATCTACTGGACGTGGACTGACACGGACCAGAAACCTGAGGAGCACAAAGCAGCCTATTGGGTTGGAGGGGGTGCCCTCATAGCTGTTCCCTAAACTTCGTGAAAATACAGGATTTGGAGAAGAACTTTCAGAATCATCAAACCCAGCAAGTGTAGAAAAACCCATAGGAAGTATCAGATCGGTCTCTCCCTCTGTTGAAGACTTACAAAGAGTAAGGAGGGTGTGAGAGTTACTATACAGTGCCCCCAGTTACTCCAAGAAGATCCCAATGGACCAGATCTTTGGGGTTTACTGAGAGTAATATTATGTAGGAAGCCTTGATCTTGCAAAGTCCTCTATTTTCTATAGAAGAACAGCTCTCAGGGTACAAACTTAAGCTATTGCATTGGTCTTTACAGAATTGGGGCCTGCAACTTTTATTCATAAATTCAACTAGGCTGCTCTAAGAGAACCCCTGAATAAGCAACTTTAATCAAATTTTCTTTGTTTAATAAGCCAACCCCACTTACAGCAGGTAGTAGATGTCAGCAACTCCATTCAGATGACTATGCACAAATGTAGCCTTGCTTTTCCTTTGAAAGATATTTAGGCCCATGTGTGAGCATCAGCACGTGGTAAACTGAAAATTATCACGTTAACCAGATGCCAGCCACCTATGCTAAGAAGTTTTGCCTCTTGAGATTTACAGGATACATTTGAATTTGGATTAGTTTTTGTCGCTAATAGTTCTATGTGATGATCAGAGAGGGCTTGTTTCTTATCTGCTTTCTTGATTCTCTGTCTGCGTGTTCGCTCACACGGCTTTCTCTTCTTTAAAGTCTTTTTACCGAGAAAGATTGTCTCCAGTGGTGAAGGAAAAAGTGCTCCTCAAAACCTTTATGACCCACTATAGGGATGAGGGTGTATGTGGAAGAATTCACAGCCTTGTCTCTCAAACAGCAGCCAAAAAATGCACCCCTCAGCCTGCACCACAGCAGCAGCCTGGGAACCCCTGCATGGAAGCAGAGATCCCTGGAAAAGCAGACTCCATCAGCATCATATAAAGGATTCACATGCTGGAAGAAACCATGATCCCTTGAGGAGGCCAGATCTGAAAGCAAGCTGCATAGAGACCCATCCAGTTGCACTGAGGTCCGGAGAAGAGGGGATTTTTCCTCTGCTGCCAGTGAACTTCGGCTTGGGTCAGTGCCTGAGGTGGGCACGTGGGTTCATTTCTTTCTCCACCTTCAGTGGGTGTGTCTACATATCGCCCTATGGTGACATAGCAATGCGCTCCATTGCTGTATGGTATGATATGGCAATGTAGCGAACACGTGTGTCTACATGTGATTGCTAGCTATGTCGCTGTAGCGGCATGCTCTCTGGCTATAGCCACCACTGTGGCGACAGCCAGTGAATCTAAGCATGCGCCACCTGTACACTGCAGTACGGACAATTACTGCACTGTGTTTTTGTACTTCCTCATTGCAAATACTAAACCATGGCACAGTAACAATGTCGTCGTACGGCGACATGTAGACATGCCCAGTGTCTCCTTTCTGCTTGGTCCTTGTTGCAGTGTATTTCTGTAGGGAACCACACAGCCTGAAGCCACAAAGCTGGCTTGGACCTTCAGAAACACCCCCCTGCCTGGGGCCTCTGATACAGGCGACACAGCCTGCAGGTGCCTGAAGGCTGGAACACAAGTTGTAGAGAGGATGATTTGAAGGGTGACACCAGCAAGCTCCATGTGCTTGGAAAATTTTGCATTATCTCTGAGCGCACGCTAAACCCCACAGCTGCAAGCAGCAACACCAAGCACACAGCTCTTCTAATTAAGATCTGAGCGTTTGCAATCCAGAGTCCCCTTCTTAATTCACAGAGCTCTGTGCGTGAAACAACAGGGCTGCTGCACTCAGTCCCGCAGTCAGGCAGACCAACCTCCTGCTGGTTTCTGGGCTAAGTGGCTCAGGGTGGGGCGGCAGGAGCTAGGGTCAGTGACAGCTGCACGCAAAGGCAGGAAACCCAGGAGGTCAGCAAGCCTGTGATGCTGTCACTCCCTGAAGCCTCCTTTCCCTCTGCATCATCCCCAAACTCATCCGTCTATGCTCCTGCTCCATCCCTGCTGAAGTCCCCCTAAGACCTTTGCTGGAGAATGTCGTGGAAACACACGCAGCACACTTTTGGGTCAGGTCAGCAGAAGCTTTTATTTAAATGAAACTACAGCTGTAGGGGGGACTCCAAAGTGACATGGATTTTCCAAGCACTTGCAAGGGGTTCCCCCCCAAGAGCAAAATCAGGAGGCTTGTATACTTTTTAAGTAGCTTACAACTCACGTGATTATATAACGGAGTTTGCTAGGAAAAGCAGTTACAAACAAACATTAGCTTATACTGCTTTGCTGTTATTAGGATGGGAACTTATGGGGGAGGCAAGGTTAGTTCACAAACCTCCTTCTTGCACCTGGAAATCAGAGTTGTACATACTTTTTGCTATTTTCAAGGCCACGGTGACTGAAGCAGTTGCAGAGGAGTTACAAAGAACAAACACTTTCCCTTATCTGTTCTACTGTACAGAGCCAGCAATTCCCCACAAAGCAGTTATGTCATCTTATAACTCGTATGATCAAAGTTTAAGGCATTTATTTTTTTCTGATTCCACAAGAACAAAGCTGGTGTTTTTCTTGGCTGTTTATCAGTTTCTCCTAACAGCTGGCTCTGCCGCCACCAGAGAAGGGAGAATATCAGGAAAACATTTTGGGTAGGGAGGGGCTGTGAGCTAACTTCAGAAGGAAATGGTTTCACGCAACTAGATCTGCTAAGAAAACCAGTCTTGGCAGTGCAGACCTCTCACCCTGGCACAAACCACCCTCACTTTGGGTCTCCTGAGGAGCCCTTCAGGGCACTTCCCGTTGTGCACAAAAAGGCTTGGAAAGCATCAAGTGACAGTACACACAACACTCATTGAGAGGGCTGCAGGGCCACTCTGCTCCCAGCTGCAGACTGGATCCTGCTTGACATAAGGGGAGGACAGCGCTGGGCTTGCTGCAAGGAGCCCTTGCGTCAGAGGAACCAAGTATATGGGAGTCCGAGGACCCTGGCCCCTTTCTGCAAGACGGCTGTCATCTGAAATGTGTAAAACTTTCTACATGTCCACCATCTTAGCACCCCCTGGCAAAAATAAAAGTTGGCTCTTATGCCTCATGTACCAATAAGGTTTGCATTGAAGTGCCAAGCGCAGCCTAGGCTGAGTGCTGCCACATGGCTGGTGGGAGACTGGCCTTCCTGAAGAAGAGCCTCTAGTTGTGACCTGCAGGAGGTGCAGACGGAGTCAGGGAGCAGGGGCTGGAACAGCGGTTGGGTCAATCCCTAGGGTGATTTGGGGAGGCTGGACAGGGCTGCTCTGGAGCTGCTGCCATCACAAAACTCCTCCCAGGTGGAAAGGAAGGGCCAGAGGCGCTGAGAGTACCTGCAAAGCTGGGGATGGGACGGCAGTGGAGTGAGGGGCTTTGCACTCTCCTGGTTGGAGAGAGGGGATCATGCATGGCTTGGGTTTTGGATTAACATATTTACCTGGCAGGGGACATACCATGAATACTAAGGTGGTTTTCCTACTGGCAGGGGAAAACCACTCTTAGCAGGGAGTAGTACCCTGACCCGGGTAGTGCATAGTTAACCTCCCACTTTCACTTCCAGTAGGACGATCTTGGCTACACACCGACATTATGGAAATGGGAGACTCCTCCCTAACTTGCTCCTGCAGCCATACAGCTGAGGGCAAGCGAGGCTTGGGGCATCTGACCCCCAAGCCTCCGGGCTTGGGCCTGCACATAGGATGCCTGCCAAAGGATTTGGAAGCATCTGAAGCCCCAGGCAGAGGTGCGGGATGCTTGCCGCTAGCAGGGCCACATGGTTCTTGAATGACTTGTGGATTTGGAATTAATTTGGCTTGGGACATGAAAAAATTTCCTTTAAAAAACCCCACAACCTCCACCCCCTGCTTGTTGAGTCCTTTTTGCTCATTTTGGGATTCTGTTCCCCTCCTCTGACGAAACAGAATCACCCTGTTTGTGTCTCTGGCAGAAGAAAAATTGAGGAAGAGGAGGAAGACGAAAGGCCCTCCACTTTTTAACCTAATAGCATAATGAGAGCCTCTCATACTATCTAATAACATAGCACAAGAGTTGGCAACCAACAACCCACGGACTAGGGGGACTCAAGTGTCCTTCCAGCCACAGAGAGCTTTGCCTGCACTGCGTTGCAGCTGTGGGATAAGCAGTAGTAGCACTGGCCCGCTTTGGGCCGGCCAATCAATCCCCGCACCTCAAAAAGGTTGCCGATCGCTGGCTTAATGGGCTCCTCTAACATGCTCTAGTCATGGGTTTTGCCCAACTAAAATTCACGGCAGGCTTCATAGCCTAGGGTGGGTGATACATAAATACACTCCATGCCAAGAACTGCAGATACACACTTTGGCATGTAGAATGAAATAGGATTTAACCTTGTAAGCTGGGGCCCTAACATATGATTACATTCAGATTTCATTTTAAACAAATCTGTTCTTAATGGGAAACAAATATTTTAATTGAAATCATAAAAAAATCCCAGGGAAAAAAAATCTGATTGATTAAAAAACAACATTGATCAAACTTGGATGCAATATACACATTCTCACCATTATATTGCAACATGCACAGTGCTTTCCTTAAAGCCCTAGTTCTCAAGCTGTGATACTGGGGGAGTGTCAGCTTTTGTTTTCCTAACAATTAATTGCCAGCCATCAGGACTGCAGTGAGACAGGAAAATATGTGAGCTCAGACCATTCACACTGTGGAAAGCATACTGCTTTCCCTGGTAGGCTTGGCTTTCGAGTAACGTAGCGGAGCTCTGCCAAACTCTAGCTGCTGAGGCATAGATCTCAAGGCCCCTTCTCTTTCTGTTGCCAGGAAATAAAACCGAAATAATGAAATCATGTAAGTGTTTCTGGAAAGGAAGTCAGAATAAAATTGAGAGTTGTGTCCTGGTTCTAAAATAGTTTTTGATGCGTCTGTCGCCAAGAATTCTTGCCTACAGTCCTAAATAGCAACAGAGAAAGTGAGGTGGGATATTAGGAAGAACTTAGTCCTCGCAGTTAGTGCTGACCCCAGTGCAAGGGGGCCAAGGCCTCTTTAGGGGACTCCATGCCCTCACGCTTGGTGCTCGGTCTAGTAACAAGGGCCTCTGTATGGCTGAAGGCCCCTTGTTGAGCTGAAAAGGAAACGGAGATCTTGACCATATAACAGAATCGTAGCACAGTGGGGCTGGAAGGGATTTCCAGGGGTCACCTAGTCCAGCCCCTGCCTGCGGCAGGATCCTCCCTATCCATCCTATACAAATCCATACTCCAGCCTCTTAGTAAATAGTGAAACTACCATCAACCCTGACACAACAACAGACACAGGCAAAGGAGGGGGACCGGAGCAGCCAATGTCCTGCTCCTGTGAAAGGTTGATATACCCGAGAGATGCCAGGCAGAGGGCCACGTCTCGCTACAGGGGAAGACATCCCCTCCCCCATCTATACAAATCTGACCATGGGATAAAATCCCTCCTGACCCCAAACAGGGTGATGGTCTGGCCCTGAGCAGGGGTCACGGTTCTCTGTCCGCCTGCCCCAGCGACACTGCGGCCTGCCCGCTGCCCCATGGCCACATCCTGTCCTGATAACTCACTCCCCGCTCTCCCTTGCCAGCCCACACTCTCGTCAGGGCGCAGATCTGTGCCTGAGGACGGAGGAGGAGGTGGAAGGAAGGGAGTTTCTTCCATCTCTGCTCCTGCACGCTTGCACACGGCAGAGCTGGCGGCACGGCATCGCATTCACCCAGCGGCACAACCGAGCAGAAGAAACGCAGCCGCGGCAGGAAGGCGGCGCAGCCCCAGAAAGGCGGCCCCGCCCCGCCACACGCTGACGCAGGGCTGCGGGGCGGGGCAGGGAGCGGTGCCAGGAGGAGGCAGGGCGAGTCCGGCGCACACAGGCTCCGACTAGGCGCAGAAGGGTCTTTCTGTGACACGCGGCGCGGACTGGACGTAATGGGAACGAGCCGCATCCGGGAGGGGCAGCCCGGAGAAACCCTGCGGGCTGTAATCTGGACTACAGCTCCCAGAAGCCTCAGGGGAGGAGGAGTCTAAGACGTAGTGTACACGCACGCACACGAGAGCGGGGGGTGGCGGAGCGGGAGCCGGAGCCGGAGCACGTGCAGGTGCGGAGAGAGCAGCCGCCTGCGTGAGAGACCGTGACCTCCGGCTTGGACACCGGCGCCGACTGGAGACTGGCGGGTTTGGGGGCGCCTCCGCGGGTCGGGGGAAATTAGGCTTCTAAAGACACGTGCTCGAGGGCAGGGCGTTCACCCAGCCCGCCCCGTCCCGTCCCTGCCCCACAGCCCCGCGGGCAGGCGCACGAGGCTTGGCGCTGCTGCTGCTGCTGCTGCTCGGGAGCGCGGGGCCCCGGGGCTCTGCAGCCAGGTATGCCCGCTGCGCCCGGGGCCGGGCAGCCCAGGAAGAGCGAGGTTGAGAAACCCTGCTCTGACCGCACGCGTGTTTCCGGTTCCCTCCCCCCGAGTGATGCGGGTAGTGCTGCCTGCCTGCATTTGTTCCTGCTCCGTGGCCTGTCAGTTTGTGACCCTACCCGCGGGTGGGCCATGATTTTGGCTGGAGGGTCACTTAGGGAGTTTTGGTCGGGGGTTCCTGATTCAGCCTGCTACAGCTCACTAAAACTCCCTAAGTGCCCCGCGCGCAGCTGGGATTGGGGCCAGGGCTGGGATTGGGGTCGCAGGATGGTGATAGCACAAGGCCAGGCAAGAGCCGCAGCCCGCTGCCTGCACGCCCCTGCAGCGATGCCGGTTCTGCAGGCAGGGCGGGTGGGGAGCAGATTGCGCTCTGCCCTGGGCCTGGCCCTCTGCTGTCACCACCCCATGGTCCCGGGGTCTCCATAAGGGCCGGCTCCAGATCCAGGGACAGTGGCCAGGAGCAGCACAGGCAAGACCCACAGCCAGACAGATAGCATGGGGCCACGGATGGGCTGGACGGGCAGGGCCTGGATCTTGGAGCAGTGACAGCGCGGGACCAGGGCTACGTCTAGGGATGGGACACAGCTGCGATCCACTCCCCACCATCTGTGCCCGTGGAACCAGCGCCTGTTGCAGGGAATTCGCCCCAGGTCCCAGCCCCACACTTTCACAATTTCCAGGCCTGCCTTCCCCTCCCACTTCTGCAGCCCCATCCCAGCCACCTGCCCTGCCCATGCGGGTCCCAGCCCTGGTAGTGGGTGCGGAGCAGACAAGCCAGGGTGCCCAGGCAGTGGGGCTGGGTCCAGCAGCAGCAGCTGGAAGGAGCCACCACCATTGCTGGGGCTGCTGGAAAATGGAATCCGGCAGCCTCGCTGCCCCACCTCTAGTTGCTGTGCCAGTTCCTGGGAAACATACCAAACCCGGCAGTCCCAGGGAGTTAGAAGATCCTCTGCTGGGAGCTGACTCTCTCTTGCTTCTGTCAACCAGTATCTGCCCGCCCGCCCCCCCATGCTGCTGGTTTGGAGATAAGGGCATAAATTCCCTGGCTGTACCCATCTGCCTCTTTGTCCTATGTAGGTTTTTCTACCACATTCAACACCAGATGACCTCAGAGGAAAACTGGAGGACAGAGGAGGGTAGCCCTCTGAACTTTGTAGCTAAATGGCCAAAGTGCATGCTCAGGAAACAGAAGACACAGGTTCTAGACTCCCCCTCACCTAGATGGAGGTTGAATCTGCATCTGACTCCTTAGCAAAGTGCACCAAACACTAGGCCAAGGCTAAAATTCTCCCTCCCCGCCCTCCTGTTGAAGGGGAGCCCCAGAGCAGCCAAGTGGGAAAGACGGATAGGGCTAGAAGACTACTCTGCGATTGAGATGAGCACTGTCATGGCAGCGTGGGGGCCCTGGACATATGAAAGGCAGGTCTGAGAGCTGCTCCTTCCGCTTGGAGGTGGCAGTGGTTAGGAACAAGGCACACTGAGCCTGATTCTGCCCTGCCCTGAAGCTAGGATGCTTGTTTCCACTTGCGTAGGGTGAGTACAAGACCCTTGGATTCTGCCATTGCAGCAGTGGGGATATGTGACAGCCTTTCCGCACAGGCATGCATTTCCGGGGGGAATTAGCGGTTATTATCTTTTTACCTGACTTGACTGCTGACTTTTGGCTTGCAGCTGGAAGCAGAGAGCAGCGTGGAGGTGATCGGGGCAGCTGGCTGAACACGTACCTTGCACAGCAGTCTTTTCCACAGGAGTCCTGTCTGTCTTGACCCTCTAAATCTGTGGACAGCTGCTGCAACCACCCTAGAGCTGACCAGGGAGAGGAGAGTGCTGTGCATCCTGCCGTCCCAGGCCCCTGTGTCACCTTGAGAGTGCCCATGTGTCAGCTTGAGAATGCAGAGGTGGGGGGAGAAGGGACCCCCTCCAAGGAGAAGTGCCTCTTAGAGTCTTCCCAGCATTTGAATAGAAACACAGAGAGCAGCAAGGATGGGAATGGAGAGCAGCCCTCTGGGAGTGAACCCCTGTTCACAAAGCAGAATGGCACAGTAGATGTGGAGCAAGGAGAAAATCCAGGTATTGCCCAGGCACAAACTAGACAAATGGGACCATGTGTCCAAGGGTGTGAATGGAGAGGGAGAAACTTCTCCATGGTCACTGCAGGGGGATCTGCTGTGCAGTTACACATTGAACTAGTCCTTTCCATACCAGTGGCACACTGGTGTGGCCTCATACCTAAAATACTGGGCCTTGTTAATTAAACGTCTGTGCTCCTCTTGCTTTATATTTCCTCTTGCCATTTATCTGGGATTAGTACTCTTCCCTGAAGAGTGGCTGTCAAGTTACCCATGTTCATGGGGTCTCTGCTTTTCCAGATCAAAGCAGCTACATTTATAAGCAAGCATGGTTCATCTTCTCAGTGCCACAGTCCTCGCTGAGTACCAGTTTTAGAACCAATCTAGGGCTTGTTTACAGGCAGGAGCTCTGCTTCTTTCATTAGCTGGAAAGATGTTTGGTCTTTGCAGCAGTACGTGTTGACTCAGGTTTGGGTTTAGAAGTAGCTGGCAGAGATTTAGCTTGCTCCTACAAAGCAGAGGTATAAAACTGAAGTGCGAAATCCATTGCAAACTGATCCAAGAGCATCCACTTGAGTGTTTGCAACATTTTAGTTAAGATCTGGTTTTAATGAAGCTAGTGAAACTGCTCTTCATAAGTGATCTTTGGGACTTTTTCCACTCTTCCCATTTATCACTGCCAGGAATAATATAATAGGGCCCAGGTTCTAACCAGCACTGACCCCACCTGGCTGGGTGGAGGGTTAGGTTCAGAGCAGGTCAGACCAGAACAGGTCAGTGGGATTATCTAGTCCAGTCATGCCCAATCTTCTTGCCTCACAGGCTGGATGAGCGGTGTCAGGTCAGTGCCCCACTCCCCACCGCTCTGCACGTGAGGGAGCATTGCCCAAAGGAGCATGGGGGTGGGGTAGTGTGTGGCCGTGGAGTATGGCACGGGGAGTGACCGTGGCGCAGGGAGTGCTCGACAGCTGTGTGGCCTGGGGAGCGGACCTGGGGGGTGGTGTAGGGCGCATGTGAGGGGCATGGCACGCAGCTGCGTGGTGGGGTGGCATGCAGCCGCAGGGTGGGGTGTGGCATGGGGAGCGGCTCAAGGGTGTGGCACAGGGCTCATGGGGGGTGTGGCACATTGGTGCATGGGGAGGTGGCAGAGGGTGCGTGGGGTGTGTAGCATGCAGCCACGCCAGGAGTGGGCATGGGGGGCACGCCCTGCCCTGCAGCCACATGCTGCAGCCAGTGGGTGCTGCCCGGGTCCCCCTGCCCACCCCCTTGGGGCTGCCTGGAGCTGTGTGGTCCCCCCCCACGCCACACCACCTCTGCGGCCTGCAGCCAGCAAGTGCTCCCCTCACAGGGGGGTCAGGGTGCCGCACAAGGAGTAGGTGTGGGTGCATGCTACAGGCGGCGGGTGCTGCTAGCGCTCCATGTGCCCCTTCCTCACACAACACCCTGTGGCCATGTGCCCCACACCCCCTGCACGCCCCGGTGTGGGGGTGCATGGCACACGGGGAGGGTTGGGAGCTGTGGCTGCATGGTTTCACTTGGGGAGCATGCACAGGGAACGTGCCGTGTCCTATGGCTGTGTGGTGCATTTGGCAGGTGCTGCCTGCAGCCCCCTGCCTGCTGCCCTTGTGGCAGCCTGCATCCTGCTCCTGCACCCTCCCCACACCTACTTCCCGCATAGCACCCTGCATGCACATTTGGCCCAGACCGTTCTGGACAGACAGACGGAAGTGGTAAGGCTTTTATTATATTAGAATACAGATAAAATTCTCTGTCATCCCTCTCTGACTGGTTCCCGGGTACCCTCATCATGACCCTCTCTCTCTCTCCTCAGCTTGCTTGCCTAAATACAAGTTACCACTTGTTCGTGGAGGGATAGGCGTCCTGGTAGTCATAGTAGTAGCCTTGACAATTGCAGTTGCCCTTCTTGCTGGTGAGTGTAATCTTCCTATTAGAGCCACTTGGGATTCTTTCCCCAGTGGATATCATTTTGTTTTGTCAAAAACCCTGCCAGAATATTTTTAAATTAGCTTGATGACAGTAATAGTTTTCAACCCAAATCTGGGGGAAGGAAGCAACTTTTTGAGCTTTCTGACAAATCCCCAGAGTCAGTGGGCCACAGATGCTTTCCATGAACATTCCTGGTTGATTGAAAACACCATTTTTTCATTGCAGAACTTTTTAACTAAAACTATGCCCTTAACCCTTGTTATTATGGCCAGATCCAAACAGGTGTTTGGAACCAACTTCTCCCCCCTACTGCAGGAGGGGCGCGCTGTTTGGCCCTCCAGAAGGTGGCAATGCAGCCCTGATGACTGCCGGTGAGAGGCAGCGGTCATTGGTTTACAACAGAACTGTCCAACTTCTGAGTTGCCAAGGGGCACAGGAGCCCCCAGCCAAATGCCAGCCACAGGCTGTGCTGCATGGCAGGCATCCTGTGCTGCACTGCATGGGCACCCCCACACTCCATCCTGATGCCGCACTATAAGCTGCTTGGCATCCTCAGGTCCCCATATTCTGCTGGTTGCAAGCTCCATGGGCTTCATTGCCCTGCTTTACCTGCAGGAGTGGGGGCAAGTAGCAGGAGAGTGATGCAGGGAGCAGCACCCAAATTGGAAGCCCAGGGACTGCAGGTTAACTCCCTGGGGCTGCATGTGACCTGCAGGCCACCAGCTGAACAGCACTGGTTTACAGTACCATCTCCTGGCTTTGCTCCCTTTTCCCTTGCGCCCTTTAAGGATGTGTGCTACTCTTATCATGTGCTGCTCTCCCCTTTCAGAAAAGAATTGCGACTCCTTTGTCATGCGTTGCCCAGATGACTGGATTGAATACCAAGGGAAATGCTATTATTTCTCAAATGATAAAAAGAGCTGGGACTCCAGTCAGAGCTCCTGCTCTTCACTTGGTGCCTCTCTGGCCAGGATTGACACCCAGAAGGAGATGGTAAGAGAGAAACTCCACTCCGCACTATCTGCCAAGCCAGTCATAACCAGTGTTTATTCTGTATGGGGCTAAGTCCTTGCTGTTTGCCTTGCACAGTGAGAAGGGAGGAGTGGCCCCACAAAAGTGAATTCTAGCATTGAATCCCCTTCTCCCTTGGGGTATAATTCAACCAAAGATGTCTCTGCCAGCCACAGCAATTTTCAGGCAAGGTGTGGTCTCTGGTAGATCAAGGGAACAAAGCTGGAACACAAACTCTGTCTTATTTTTAACTTTTTATAATAAAGCTTTGATCCTGTCCATTATAATGCCAAGGAAATGTAAATACTTAATGGATTGCAGTTAATTAGATTGTTAGTTCTTTGGGGCAAGCACAGGCCCTTCACATGTGTTTGCATAAAACCTACTGTAATTCATAGATTTTAAGGGCCAGCTGTGATTATCTAATCTGATAGGTCCTGTATAAAACAAGCCACTGTTTATATTAATTAGTCACTGGATAAAATTCATAAACAGTCCTTGGATCCTGAACTGGGGCATGGATCTCTCCACTCCTAGCTGAATACCTTCCCCATAGGCAACAGAGTTGTACTCTGACTTGCTCTGTCACCCAATTAATTTTAAATGATCCCATGATCACCTCTTGGTGAAACTGGCCAATTGTGGCCTTGAGTCCACCACGATCCGCTGGCTGGGGAATTGGCTCCATGGTCGGACCCAGAAGGTGGTAATTGACGGAAGTCAATCGTCATGGTGCCCTGTGACCAATGGAGTCCCCCAAGGCTCTGTCCTTAGACCCATATTGTTCAACATCTTAATGATGTGGACATTGGAGTCAGAAGTGGACTGGACAAATTCACCGATGACACAAAACTCTGGGGCAAAGCATCCACACCTGAAGACAAGAGGGCGATCCAGGCTGACCTGGATAGGCTCAGCAAATGGGCGGACGAGAACCTGATGGTGTTTAACACTGAAAAATGCAAGGTTCTCCACCTTGGGAGGAGAATCTGCAGCATCCTTATAGGCTCGGCAGTGCTACGCTGGCTAGTACTACGGAAGGAGGAGACTTGGGGGTCATCATTGACCACACAATGAACATGAGCCTGCAATGCGATGCTGCGGCTAGTAAAGCGACCAAAACGCTGGCTTTCATCCATAGATGCTTCTCAAGCAGATCCCGGGAAGTCATTCTCCTTTTGTACTCGGCCTTGGTGAGGCCGCAGCTGAAGTACTGCGTCCAGTTTTGGGCCCCACAATTCAAAAAGGATGTGGAGAAGCTTGAGAGAGTCCAGTGAAGAGCCACGTGCATGATCAGAGGTCAGGAAAAGAGACCTTACGACAACAGGCTGAGAGCCCTGGGGCTCTTTAGCCTGGAAAGGCACAGGCTCAGGGGTGATCTGATGGCCACCTATAAGTTTATCAGGGGTGACCATCAGTATCTGGGGGAACATTTGTTCACCAGAGCGCCCCAAGGGATGACGAGGTGGAACGGTTATAAACTACTGCAAGACCGTTTCAGGCTGGACATAAGGAAGAATTTCTTTACTGTCCCATCCCCCAAGGTCTGGAATAGCCTGCTGCCAGAGGTGGTTCAAGCGCCTTCATTGAACACCTTCAAGAGTAAATTGGATGCTTATCTTGCTGGGATCCTATGACCCCAACTGACTTCCTGCCCTTCGGGCAGGGGGCTGGACTGGATCTTCCGAGGTCCCTTCCAGCCCTAATGTCTATGAAAGAGTGAGCCCTGCTCAGCTTCAGAAAGGGCACCCCAGCCCCAGTGCTCTGGATGGCATGCTGTGGGTTTAGATCCCACTTTGAGGTGCCACATACTCCCCCAGGCCCTGTACAGAAAACCTGGGTGACTAACTCACGGTACTGGATTCCATCCAGGTGTCACAGTCCTTTATTGGCTTTACCCCTAAGGCCCCTTTCTTCAGTTAGAAGGGGAGTGGGATCTTATGAAAATCAGCAAAAGTAAGAGACCCTAAAACAGCAGGATTGATTCTCCTCCCCCCAGTACATACTAACACTTTTGTCAGTTATTGCAGTAGTACCAACAGAACAAGAGCTGTTGAAGTAACCAATTTTTCGGTCCATTTTTAGCACCAAAATATTTTCATAGACATTAGGGCTGAAAGGGACCTCGGAAGATCATTGAGTCCAGGCCCTTGCCCCAGGGGCAGGAAGTCAGCTAAGGTCAAAGGATCTCAGCAAGATAGGTGTCCAAATGTTTCTTAAAAGAGTCCAGAGTAGGTGCTTGCACCACCTCTGGAGGGGGTCTGTTCCAGGCCTTGGGGGCTCGGACAGCAAAGAAACTTTTCCTTATGTCCAGCCTGAAATGGTCTTGGAAGTGTTCATGACCATTTGATCTTGTCATCTCCTGGGGTGCTCTGGTGAACAGGCGTTCCCCCAGGTCCTGGTGAACACACCTTATATACTTACTGGTGGCCACCAGGTCGCCCTGAGCCTGCGCTTTTCCAGGCTGAAGAGTCCCATGGCTCTCAGCCTCTCATCGTAAGGCCTGTTCTCCTGCCCTCTGATCATGTGCGTGGCTCTCCTCTGGACTCTCTCAAGCTTCTCCACATCCTTTTTAATTTGTGGAGTCCAGAATTGCATGCATGAACTCCAGCTGCGGCCTCACCAATACTGAGTACAGCGGGGGGGATGACATCCTGGGATTTGCTTGAGAAGCATCTATGGATGAAACCAACATTTTGCTCGCTTTACCAGCTGCGGCATCGCACTGGTGGCTCATATTCATCTTGTGGTCAATCATGACCCCCAAGTCCCCTTAGGCCGTGGTGCTAGCAAGCGTAGCACTGCCAAGCCTATAAGTGTGCTGCAGGGTTTTTTCCCCCCTGAGGTGGAAAAGATATTACTTGAAGTCGAGTTAATTTTCAAAAATTGGTAAACCAACAGGTGGTAAAAGTTTTCAGTCAAACGATAGGTTTCATGTCCCATTTTCTTAGTCTGTGAGCTTTTCATTAACATCAAAATACATTTAAAAAATGAAACTGAGCTATAAACCCACAAATTGAACCAACTCATTTTTAAAACGTTGAAGCACGGCATTTCTGGATTTTTTTTCCTGACTGAAATGCTTTTGCATATCCACCTGAATCTGCATTTACTGATGAAAAAATATTTTTTTTCACCCAAGAAAATGTCACCCAGGCCTGTGTATAACATGACAAATAGTCCTAAGTAAAAGCATTGCAGTTCCACCTAGTTATTCCTCTTCCACTAGGAGACTGAGGGGTGTCACACCTGTCACAGAGGCCTTCCTCCACAATGAGTGGTGACAAAATCAGATGCCCCAGCCCTTGCCATGAAAAAGATAGATTAGTGCATGACTGCTAGTGCTGACCCGAAGCAGAATGTAACTCAGATCCACTGTGGCCCATGTAACTGCATGGAAGGGGCACTTACTGCATGCGTGATCCAAGGGTGGGAATTAATGTATATTGCCCTCTTCTCCAATAAAGAATTTCACCATGCGCTACAAGGGGCAGGCTGAATACTGGATCGGCCTGAGGAGAGAGCAGGACCAGCCCTGGACCTGGGTGAACAGCACAGAGTTCAACAGCCTGTTGTGAGTCCTTTCCCTTCTGTGCTGGGAAGATGGCCCCTGTGGCTCTGCAGCTTGGAGTTGAGCTCCAAAGAGGCAGCTCCTTGCTCTTGGGCTGAACCAGTGGGAAGCAACATCCCCGAGATACACGGCTCAGTACACTGGCTGGTGGAGGCTACACTCCCATGGGGGATTCTTTGGACAGGGGAAGCAAGACAGGTCCCCCCTGCCAGTTCTCATCAGTTCCTGCCTGTCTCCCCCCAGGAACAATTGGGTTAGGATCCTGCCCGTGACATGCTGTGCATGGAGCACGGGTGCTGTTGGAGGAGGGCTGTAGTTGGGAACAGTGTCTGAGTAGCAGCCTGCTATTTCTGTGCAACAAGCCTGGCTGCCGGCCACCACTTCCAGGGTGGGATGTGGAGATGTTGTGTGTCATAGCTGGTGCAGCTGCCTGCAGCCATGACCTCACTCATTGAGGGTCTGAGTTTTTGGCATGAAAGGCCCTGTCACCTGCCTCCAGTAACAGGGCAGGTGGCCCAGCGGGGATGGATAGACTGGGCTGAGCCTTGTCACTGCCCCTTGGGGTCTTTAGAGGAATCCCTCATCTTGATATAGTAGGAAGGGCTTAGGCCTTTTCACTGCCCCATAAAGGTCCTTCAGGGGAAGGGAGGGGACTGGGCCCAGTCACTTGTTTATGGAGCCCTCCACTGGGCACAGTGGTGACTGGTCTCAGCCTCTCACAGGTGTCTGAAGGCTGGGGATCAGGGATGGCAAGCAAGGCTGGTCTGCAAAGCTGGTTCTCTAGCTCTCTCCTGTGCCCTACAATCCTCCCTAGTCCCACAAAGGAGGCACAAGCCACCCCCTCCTATCACAGAGTATCATGGGGCAGAGATGATGTCTGGAGGCAGGAGTACCACTTGTGGGCAGCATGTCCCGGTGCCTGTGTGAAGCAGCTGCCCTGCCTGCTGAAAGCTACATTCACGGTGGTATCTGTTTTACAGGTTCAGAGTGCGGGCAGACGGGAACTGTGCCTACCTGAGCCACAACTTTGTTGGCTCCACAGGGTGCTCCACACTGCGCCACTGGGTCTGTACCAAGCCCCATAGGACAACCAGGGCAGAGGATGACTTGAAGCCAGGCGCACGCAGGTGGATAGCCTCATGAACAGCAGTGGCCTATGGTGCGGCACCAGGGTGTGTCCCCCATTGTATTAGCATGGATAAGAGGTGGGCGGTGCCAGGGTGCATCCCCGCTGCACCAGTATAATTACGAGGTGGGCGGTGCCAGGGTGCATCCCTACTGCACCAGTATGATTACGAGGTGGGCAGTGCCAGGGTACATCCCGACTGCACCAGTATTATTGAAAGGCGGACAGTGCCAAGGTGCATCCCTGTTGCACCTGCAAATCTTGGAAGGCAGGTGGTGTGAATGCTCATCACTGCTTGTCATAGCATAAGGGAGCTGGCATATGGCACATCCCTGCCCAGCTTGTCTGAGGCATCAGCTGGGATATCTGGCAGTCAGTGCAGACAGCCTGTGTGTGCGCCCAGCCAAAAGTCTGCTAGGCCACTGTGGAAAGCAGTCATGTCCTAATAACTCTGCCCACTGGAGCTGCAGATTAGCTGCTTTGTGCTAACAAAGGGCTGATAGCTCCCCAGACTGGCAGCTTCATAAACAGAAATTTGCTTTTGCCATGACTAATGGCTCCCGAATGGCCTAAAGGTAACACATGCAAGTGTTAAACTGCAGAAAGGGGTTGCTCTGAGCCTGAGCAATAGGAAGAGAAGACAGTAACTACTATATACTTAATAATCCTGTAAGGCAATTGGTAGCAATCATATATTAGTTATGCTGCACGGTTCAGTGTTAATACAGTGCTTATATTAACCATTGATAGTTCAGTACATTCAGATATTAACAGCTGATAGCATTAGTCACCTTTCTGAGGCACTCTATAGCATGATCCCCAGCTCTCTGCAGATGATCTGTTACCAAAGGGCAGGCAACCCTAGTTGCTTGGACAGCACTGTCGCATCGAAAAGAGTAATGTGACCAACAGGAAGATGTGCTGAAACGATCATTATCAGAGGCAAGACAAGGTTTCCATGTTTTACACAGAGCATTACTCATGCAATTGTTGCACTAAATAATCTGTATGAAGTGAATCCATAGCAGAGACACCTAAAGTTTTTATGGCATATATTTCTAGCTATATTTGTATGCATCAGTATTCAAATAAATGAAATAAACAAAGGCAGCTGTATTTATCTCTTATTCCTTCTTGAAGTTTGACTCTTGGACAAACCTGTTTGCCCTCAGAAGGCAACTGGGTAGCTGTTTCCTGACATCACGACTGCCTAGTATAGGTTAAAGAGATAACACATAAGGAAAAACTTCTTTCCTAGTCAGGTATTGAGGGTTTGGAACAGACTCCCCGCAGAGGTGATACAGTCACTGACCCTGGCAATCTTCAGAAAGTGTCTTGATGCCCATCTTGCTGGGGACACCTGATCCCAGTCGTCTTTCCTGCTCAAGTGCAGGGGAGGCTGAACCCGATGATCTGTAAGGTTCCTTCCAGCTCCTAACAACTATGAAACTATGAAACACTTCATAGCTGGCAACTGTCCTCAGGGGAGGATGGTGGGAGTAAATTCAGAGTTGAGAATCTCTCGCTCATAACTTGGTTACAGTCTAGGAATGCATCACCAGAGACTTCTCAGCTTGCAGAAGGCTTGTTAATGAAAGAAAGGACCAGACCCTAAGGCCTGGAGGGGAAGTCAAATTTAGACTTGGGATGGGGTAGATTATTCATCGCACTGGGGAGGTTATATGAACCCTAACGACAGAGAAGGTAAGGAGGGTACATGCTGGAATTCAATCGTGAGTTATTGAGCATGCAGAAAAAACACCGGAGGCAAGAGTAGACACCAGAGCACAGAGCCACCTTCTTTCCAGGGCAGTGCCTGTCTTTCTGATGAAACCAGCTGATACCCATTTTACTTCATCTCTTCCTGGGACTCCCCTTGGGGCCTTGGACATGTCGCTTAGTTGTGCTGTGCTCCCTCCAGCCTGGGGTTCAAGGGTCATGTTTGCATAGCGGGAATTTGGGAGGAGTGATGTGGACTTCTGCAGCAGTTGGAGTGCTGTCCCTTGTGTGTGTAACAGGGCAGCAGTGTGTCTTATGCTGGGGAACCTTTCTTGGATATCTCTGAGGGGCGGCGGAAGAAGAGGTCTGTCCGGAACCAAGCAGTGGGCCCCCAACTTTTTTTTCCCTTCTGTTGAGAATACTTTGCAGCCTTTGTGCTCTAAGTGTATAAACATTATTTAGAAATGTCCTAACTGCATACAACTATTTTGCTATACAAATGCATGAGGTATTAACACTTCTACGTTATTTCTTTCATTAGAAATGTACTAACTAGATTAGAAAGTTTCCATCTTAAACTAAATGTGTTTAGAAGTTTGCATGCATGTGGGTTTATCTCTCCAAATGTGTTTAAACATCTATATATACATATAAAAATACATTGCAATACTTGGTTATTCCTCGCAGGGAGGTTTATTTTCATTCAGTTAGTTTAAAATTGAATAAGCAGTTATTTAATAGGTTTATTTTAAAATGTACTCTCTGTCTCTCTCTTTGGTATCACAGTCCTCGAGGGCCTATAACTGCCTTATCTAAAGCCTTCCGTCTCCTCCCACCTTGTCACATCTTTGCCTATCCCTTCCAGATAACATAAAAAAATTATCCTCCCATCCTTGCCTTGGTCTGTGTCAAGCTCTGAGATCCTCCACCTCGGCTTCCAAAATCTGCATTTTCCTGTTGCTTTTCTTGATGTGCCCTGTCCAGTTCATTCTTTGTGCTCCTATCTTGCTCAGGACAGGCAGTCTTTTGTGAATGTCCATAAGCTCTTGATTATGTCTTCTCTATGCTCCATACTAGTTACATAAAAAACATGTTTTCCTTCAAAAATAAGGGAAATGTATATGTATATTGAGATTTTGTCCAGTGATTTAACAAACTTTATTTAGGATTTTATGAACTGCCTAAGTCGATGACAGTTGGAGGGGAGGGGGCAGCAGTGGAGGAAGGGTAAGGTATTGGCACCTAAGGGTGGTGGTTAGGAGTTGGACTAGTCTGTGGGGAGGGCAGCAGTTGGGACAAGGAAATATGGGGCTGGGTAGCCACAATGAAGCACACAGCTCTGCCTTTACCAGCCAAACCTTGTCCAATGCGTCATAGAGCACATACCACAGTCACTAGCAGAAACAGCAGTATTAGAAACAGCTTTGATGTTATTAAATATGGAGCTGATCGTTTTAATCAGCAAAGGTCTGCATTTTAACTGGTGTGGAACGATGATGCATCAAGAGGAAAAGCATTCACTGAAGTTGAGTCTGTCTTACCCCATCTCCCTTTTGGGGGCAAGAGCTGAGTAACTGTTGCCTGTTACAAGAAGCAGCAGCTAAAGGGTGGGGAAATACCCAGGCTCTAAGGAAATTTCATCTGAGCGTTAGAAACTCAGGAAAAAACATCCTTCTAAAATGGAAGAATATATAAATGTTCAATAACTGGCAAGAAAAGGGATAAAACTGAGGAATTTTATATTAAAATTTGGTAACTAGTGAGACAAAAGGCAAAACCGGAAGGAAAATTATGTCAGTGATTTTGGGGCTGTAAGAGATTCAACCAGTATCACCATCAGCAATTGCCCACACAAGGCAAGCCTTGAAAAAAAAAATCATAAGGGGTTTTTAAAGGGCTTGGTTTCTTTATCAATTCTCCCTGTTGAGCCTTTACAATCACTTGGGTCAGATTGTCAAGCTTTTCTCTACAACCTGGGCCAGACACTTCCTTTTTTGTTTTTCTTTTTTTCTTTAAATTAAAGCCAATATTCTCAAAGGACTCCAGGAGCTGGAGCTTTAAGGAAATCCCCAGTATCACAAGACTAGGGGTAACATCAGGAAAGTTGTCAGCATTCAGCTACACTCATTTCCCAATCTTGCCATGCTCCCCCCAGTCCTAACACCAGCAACAGAGTGGCCACTCAGCACCCCCAACCCAGTGAAGTCTCCTGCCCTCCACTTTAAAGCCTCCTTGAGCTTCTCCCAAGCTCTGCTCACTGTCCACTCTTTGACCATCTGTAAACCTCTACTAGATATCTGCCAAATTCCAGTATCACCAATGTCAAGAGTTCAAAAATCAGGGTATTTAACAATAACAATAGCACATGGCAGGCAGGGCGGAAAGGGTCTCTCCTCTTTCTGAGCCTTTAGGGAGCACTTGGTCACCCTGTCAAACTCTTTCTTGTACTTGGGAACTGTTAATGTATTTACCTAAGGGTTGGGATATTTGCAGAGTAAATAATCTGTGTGCACAGACAGCATTAGTGCCCACAGACGTATGGACACGCATTGAGCATGGCCCCCACTCTGCCTTTCGGTCAAAGTAGCATTGACTCCCATCAAGAAAAGCTCCATGGAGGTTTTCTAAGGGCAAGTACCCACGTGACTGGTTGCCTAGCTGTCTTCTTCCTGTCCTTCCAAAGTCCATTTCCGTAGGCTGACTCACTCCAGCTCAGCCAGTGGTGTGTTGTATAAAATAAAAACCAAAGGAAATATCTTGTGCTGCTGCAGATTAAATTAGCTTTTGAGCTAAGGAAGCTGAAAGTGAGCTGCAGGGGTGGTTTCCTGCCTTGCACGAGTGATGGCTGCTGAGGATCTAGCTCTGAGCTCTGAGTATGAAGTGACTTGCTCCATCTGCCTGGGAGATTTCAAAGACCCGGTGACTATTGATTGTGGGCACAACTTCTGCCGGGCCTGCATCAGCCAGTGCTGGAAGGAGTCACAGCCAACTTTCTCCTGTCCTCACTGCAGAGAAACAATCCAGCAAAGAGACTTTCCGCCCAACAAGCAGCTGGGAAATATGGTCAGCTTAGTGAAACAACTACGTTCCCAGGAAGTGAGAGAGCCTGAACTGGACAGAGTGTGCAAGAGACACCAGGAGGCCCTGAAGCTGTTCTGCGAGGAGGACCAAACCCTCATCTGTATGGTTTGCAGGGAGTCCCGGGCTCACAGAGCTCACACTGTGGTCCCCATCGAGGAGGCAGCCCAGGAGTACAAGGTAGGTGATTGCTAGCCTGGGGCATGGGGGGATCACAGTAGCAGGAGCACCACTGTATGACAGTGTGAGCCACACAGCCCGTCTCCACTTGAGCTAAAGGTGTCACTTATAGCCCATTATCCTCGATGTGGACCAGCCTCCCAGGAGGAATGTGATACCAGTATTCCCAGGGGGTGTTACAGTGCTATTTTAGCAAGGACTGGGGGATGCTGGTTGTGCAGATTCCTGGCCCTGGTAGCGGACTATGACATAAGAGATGACAGGCTGAGTTAAGCATATGGGCTTGGCAGAATCGCCCCATGACACCAGTATGGATGGGGCTCATGTCTGCCCTACCAGAGACATGGGTTCTTTCTCCAGCTCTGGCTGATGAAACTTTGCACAACCTTTCTGTTAACTTACGTGTAACTTGTGGGCTGATGGTAGCAGGCAAACAAAGTGTACAGAAACATTTGCACCAGCCAGCAGCAAAGGTTTTACCTCTTGGCTCTTCTCCCAAAGCACCTTCCTGGACGCTGTTTTGCTGCAGCAAGTCTCTGCCACGGGGTCTCCTAGCCATGATGTTTCTATGGGTGCTTGTACAAGCGACGGAAGTTTAGTTCGGTTTAGTTCTCCCTAAATTGAAACAGTGGGATTTTAAAAACCCACCTTTTCCACCATTTCAATTTAGGCAGAACTAAACCGAACTAAACCCCCATTGCATGTACAAGGGTGAGGGGCCAGATTTTTACCTGCCTCTCCCGCGGTGGGGAGGAGGTGGAAGGCGAGCTGCCAGCTGACTCAGCAGTCCCTGAGCTGCAGGAGACCCTGGTGCTTCCCTCCACAGTGGCAGCGGCCCCTGCCTGCTAGCACCTGGCCTGGGCAGTCCCGGGGGACACCACCACCATGGAGGGAAGCACTGGGCCCTGCACAGATCAGGGTCTGTGTGACCCAATGGCAGCTCATGCAGGCAGGCTTAATTGAAGAAAAAAAAAAAGTGGCAAGGAGCCTGATTTTTTTATTTTTTCTCCCAGAGCCTGCCTGCCTGCAGGGCTTGGTGCTTCCCTCTGCGGTGGTGGCGCCCCCTGGGACCGCCTGGGCCGGGTGCCAGCAGGCGGGTGCCACCTGGGGGGCGCCACCGAC